TTTGTTTATTTAGCCGGGGGGAGGGGCATGTAGATGTGGTTCAGAGGAAAACTTGCAGAATTCAGTTCTCTCTCTCTGCCATGTGGATCCTGTGAATCAAACTGAAGTTGTTAGGCTTGGCAGCATGCACCTTTAAGTGCTGAGCCATCTTACTAGCCCCTAATTTCTAGGTGAGTAATTATAAATCTGATATATGGATTGAAGGAATCACTATTAATTCTCAGATCATTTTCATGGTTGTTGGAAAGTATCTGCCTCTAAATAACCCCAGTAAGTGAAGTAGAAATACTATATCTTGGTGTCACTCATGAGTGTGTGTGTGTGTGTGTGTGTGTGTGCATGTGTGTGTGCGTGTGCGCGGATGTGTGTGTATAAAACCATATCAGAGTTTTAGATCTAACACCATAGATATCATAGGACAAGTTTACTACATTCTGTTTTAAAACACATTACAAATTGGGTGTGGTAGCCTGCACCTATAATCATATCACTCGGAGGATAAAATAAGAAGAAGGTTGTTACTTCAAGGGCAGCTTTGACTACATAGTAAATTCCAGAACAGCCTGGGTTACACAGTAAGACCCTGTCTCAAAAAATAAAAAATACATTACAATAAACATGTAGCATCTAAAAATTCCCTAACCTGGGAATAAGAAGACAAGACTTGCTTCTTAGTTTGATTTTTTAAAAAGTTTCCCGAGTTTCCTGCATTTTCTTTTTCCATAAAGCTAAGTGGGTGGGATCAAGGAGTGGTGCCGAATGCTCGCTGCACACTAGAATCATACAAAGAGCATAAAAAATGTAAAAGTAATCATGCTCAAGACCCACCCACAGCCAGTTTTTAAAGATCCCCAGGTAACTTTAATGAACAGCATGTGCTGAAAACTGTGGTTCTAAATGGTCACTGAGGTAACTTCTAGCAAAACTCCCTCATTTTATGATTCATTGTGCCCTGACATAATGTCAGTGACACTGTTAACAATGTTCTCGGTATTTACAGTGTCTTACAAAGTGGAGATTATCCTCAAAGGCTTTTTATTCAAAATTTGGAAAATTTTCTCATCTGAACCACCCAAATCTCTGTATTATAAACAATTTTATAGGTGGAACCAAATAGTCACTATTATTTGAGTATAATATATGCTTAAAATATTTTAAATTCACTTAATTCTTAGAAATCGACTAATATAATTAGAAATAATGTCTTTAAAATATGTCCCAGTGTGAGGGAGCTCCCCATCGCTAGCTGTCATCTGCACATCACCTTCTTTTGTCTTCCATTAGGCTGGCTGAAAGAAGAGGCTTCCTGTGAAGGAAGTGTAACCAGAAACTGTATATAAAATTTTAAAACTGCTGTTATAATTCTGATTTTGAATACATATACTCAATACACTGTCAACAATAAACTTCCTAAAATTTGTAGCTCATTCACAATAAATAACTTTCATAAAAGAATCACTGAAGTGGAATAACTACTTATACTGATTTTTTAAGAGGTTAAACGTGATTTCTTAAATAAATTATGGAATGCATCGCTGGAAATTTTGCAGTTCACTTTTGTAACTAAACATTTTTATTGGTATCAGCTGATAACTTTCCCTTCAATTTAGTTTTCTCATATATTAAGTGCTAGAGAATACAGACGAATGCTTTATTATTTAAAGCTAAATTAAAATTTAAAATCTCGGCCAATATTCAGATCCAAAAACAATCTAAATAGATACTTAGAAACTTGGGGGAAAACCTCAAATGAATATTAAGCTAGAAAGTAACAAATTTTATGTCCTGCATTCCCATGTACTACTGCATTTGCAGTGCACTTTTGTATACTTGGGGCAGGAAGACTCCTCCTTCTAGCCAGCCTAATAATGGAAGGAGATATGCAGATAGCAGCTAATAGCTAACACTGATTAATGTAGGTGTAACCAGTAAAGAATGCACTGACTGAATGGAATTTTTGCAGACATAGCTGTGTTTAAAGACTATTTGAAAGAAGTGCATAGTGAACAGAAAGAAATTATGAAAGAGAAAACGTATGATTTCAACAGAATATGTGCCTGTATCATTGTTACATCAACTTACAGCATCAGTCTGTCATTCTTATTATACCTTTGATTTTCATACATATGTCACTATGTTAGTTTGCCTCGTTGATGACAATCTAGGCTTAGGTTATCATAAATAAGAAGACTTCACAGATACATCATTTATTATAACCTGAAAAACTATGACCCTGGAAGAGTAATGTGATGGCTAGAATAGGGAACAGGTTTAAAAACTGTGCCCTATGCAGCACAGGGCAGCTGCTTTGCTTCACATTAGCTTCACCACTTATCGGTTTGCTTTACAAGATCTCCCTGAAATCAATCAGACACATATACCATGCTTTCAAAGAATGCTGTAGGGTGAGAGTAAGACAGGAAGGGTTTGAAACTATAGGCAACATGTACAGCAAACTTTGTAATAATAGTTATATGTATCCTAATGACTGAAAACTAATTCATAAGAGTTTTATGGAGCGGGGCTGGAGAGATGGCTCAGCGGTGGCTGAGGGTGTGATTCAGTAGGCAGAGTCCCTGACTAACAGGCACAAGCCCTAGATTTGACTACCAGCACTATATAAACTGGACATGGTGGCACAGGCCTGTATTGCAGCACTCAAGAAGTAGAAAAGGTGCCATTAAAAGGGTGATGTTTTGAAGAAAAAGGCAGTGATGCTGTAGTCTCTGGAAGGCAGATATGAAAATGAATGAGACATTTTATATGGGAGTTGGAGCACAGGGAGTGATGAAGACCTAAAACTTAGAGACCAGAGATACTTGCTTCTCAACTTTGCCTGGGGCTACGCCACTCAGCCATACACTCATGGTACAGAGTAAAGCAAATTGACCCACTTTTCTAAAGATGTCATGCAAAATTTACATGCTCTTCAGAGGCTAGCAACATTTTATTGAATCCAGACTTTGCATCTGATAGAGTTTAGTGATGCTAACATCATCTTGAGTAATAAAGTCTCATTACATGTGTATGAATATATACTTTTGTCTCCTATGAGCTCTTATTTACAATAAAGTTATTTTCCTTGTTAAGATATTGAATTCATGCAATTGTCTTAACTGCATAATGTGGGAAGTGTAAGCACTGGACTCCATCTTGAAAGGAAAACTGTTACATTAAAGTAGAGCTGGCATCCGAAATGAATAATGTAGCTGTTGTGTTTTAAAAACATGTCAGATTTTCTTAAGTGTACCTTCCTTCTTTAAACTTTGATGGACTGAGATAAATGATTTTTTTTTATTTGGCCTTGACTATTTGTCACAAGAAGATAAGAGACAGACAGCTAATCTAATAAATTGCTGTGCCACATGCTCATGGTTAGGTAGAATTGCCATTTAAAACAATTACCCTGGAAAGTATAACTGATTTTAATTTTAAAAGAAAAACTTTGTCATGATTTCATGATATCATGAGAAGCAAAAGAGACTAACAAAGTTTTGAAATGACTAACACTTAGAAGTATTTGAGTAAAGTTGGGTATAATTTTATCTAATAACCCCCAAATACAGTGTGTTCCTTCTTAAACGAGTATATTGAGACATAAATTTAATGACACAAAACCATGAATATTAAAATGACGTTTCTTATTGATACCAAAAAAGGATAGTGTAAATTACATTCTGCAGCTTAAGTTGGAAGTCCATGTGTCACAGAGAAAGCTCTCATTGAATTTCTGAAGTAGACTGCATGCGTATTTAATCCAATGGCTTTAGGCAATCAGATGTAAAAAGTCAAAATCTAAAGTACATTAAAACTCACACAAAACCATGTGTGTTTCCTCTTCATGTTTTAGAATCATTTTCAACACATAGTAATTTGACAAAATTTAAATGCAAGGTTGCTAGCTGGCGTTTCCATGCCTGGGGGAGGGGAGGTGACAGTTGCTGCATTCTACAAAGAACACGTGTAAAGATCATAAAGTTGATTGGTTGCAGCTTCGTAGCTTTTCCCCGTTTTCTCTCTTCCTATAGAGTAGTTCAGCAGGGGGTGGAATGGTTCTCCCCATCGCCACCTCCTCTACTAAAAAGACGTAGGTTGATACCATTTTTATTGTTCTGCTGGGGTGGGAAATAAACCATATGTTTCAGAATTTTACATGGCTATACCAAAGAGAAAAGTGAACCAGGCCTTCCTCCTCCATCCTGCTGGACTTTGGAGTGGGTTTATTCTTAATGTTCAGTGGACTTGGAGTTAGCTTAACGTTTCTGCCCTTGGGCAGCTGAAGGGAAGAAATGTTAAGGGTTTCAGAGGAGCGGTGGACTGAGTGAAGTGTGGAGTGGGAAGCTTACATCTGAAACCCACCCCTCCCCTGGATACCAGGCAAAGGCAATGAGAGTCAGAACCAGCTGATGCCGCTGCTGCTGCTTCCCGTTTCCAGGGTGAAATTTTCACAGCAGCTAATTCTAAAGAGAGGAAAAAAATCCCTAACCAGCAGCAGAGAAGATCCTATCACCCAACCCTAGCTATGTAACCTTTTAGGCAGGGTTTTCAGAGCAATCCGCATTTTAAAAGGCACTGTTCAGGGTCCAAACCACGGGCCTGGAATCAGAGCTGGTATGAAAATATGAAAAGCCTCTTTACACCCTGAGTGTTTGAAGCGATCTGATGAGCATAGCAAGCGACTGCCAACGCTCGGGCGGCTGCTAGTGCCGCTGCTGCCGCCGTTCCTCGCAGAGGGCTGGACAGAGCTAGTCCTGATTTCAGCACCTCCGGCGCTGGACAGCTCTCTGCACACCGCACCGCCGCCTGCTTGCTTTTCCCCTCTCTCGCTTTGCATTACTGGAGATGCATCTAAATTACGTCCTGTTCAACAACAAGTAGATTTTTTTTTTCCTGTACGGGAATTACAGTAGACGGTTCTCTCAATTAAACTGCATTTTCTTCTTTACGGACTTGACTGTCAGGCGTATTTATCCCGATCTCCCCCCCCACCCCCTTTGCAGGAACGAATCTTTGGGAACGTGGTCCACCCAGGGATGTAAAACTGTGCTTACCGATGCATCCCACACGAAATGCTTATGTGATCGGCTCTCTACCTTCGCCATTTTGGCTCAGCAACCTAGAGAAATAGTAAGTAACAAAGGGAAAACACGGCTTTAATGCAAAGGCAGGGACATTGTGACAATAGTTTCTCCAGGGAACTGCATTTTAAAAGGGGAAATAGAAAAGATTGCAGGGTGGCAAAATTGGGTTCGATTCCTCCTCAGCTACAGTAGCTTGGTGACATGAATTCTAGTTGGTGTGCTATAACTGAATTCTACTCAAATTTTGTGTCTTATAACTTGAAATTTCTGCAGTATAGTTTTGAAGATGTACTCCTCTGATATTACTAATATGCTGAAAACTTTTAAATAAAAATAATTGTCAATTCAACCTTTATTTTAAGACTGGAAATCTGTTCTGGGAGAATCTGTGACAATGCTGGTAAGAGTGGAATGAGGACCCCAGACACTATAGCTGAACACGTTGCATGTCTGCATTGGATATGTTCAGCACAGGTTTTCTGAGGGTGTCCTTGGATACATTTTTTTTTTAATCAAAATGAAGTTTTCATGGAGGCATGGCTGTTTGGAACAGTAAAATCATTCCTTAAAAGTGTGTAGATTTTGAAAAAAATAGTTTCTGCAAAAGACAGTTGTACAGAACTGTCAAAAAGAAAAATAATATTCACACCAAATATATTTGAGAAAATGTTACAGAAAATTTAAATAATGACTAATAAATATTGTGATAAGTGTGACTTTCTGCCTAAATTTGACCTAAAAACATCATTCTTTTTACTCATTTCGATGATACTTATACACAATATAATTTGATATATCTAAGGTCTGTAACACACTTAAAGTATATTGCCTACTTCTAAAAAAGTATATTGCCTACTTCTAACATAAAAATTTATGAAAAACAACAGATTTCATTAGTTATGGTCATATTGCTGTCTAAGGAGCCATTTAGATAAGTGGGTGTGTATAATGTTTATATATGTTTTTAAAGCTATCAGCTTAATTTTCAAGGTCATGTTTTTGGGGAATGATTCTGGCATTGTGAAAATTATCTCCATAAATTTTGTTCATGAAAAGAAATCAGAAAATATACTTGAAGGTCTTAAGTATGACATTATACTGTCTTCTGTGTACTTGGAGGCCAAACAAGTAAAATTTATGTGAGAATACTTGAGTTAGAACAAAGTTGTCAAAAGCCAGAAAGTTTGAAAATTTTTCAATATCTGTGCACCACAGTTAATGTAACGAGCTGTAAATGGAAGTAGCAAGATAAATCTTACCAGAACTGTATCATGAAATGACTAAACTGTGCTTAGTTAAAGAGAAATACATGCTGCTTCTGATGTCATTTAAAGAAAATTTAACCTAGGATGATGACCAAGTTGGAGTTTCAGGTCTTTATTTCAGAAAACTTTAAATAGGTAATAGGCCACAATCAAGTATTTTGAACTCTAAGGATTTTATTAGTCCACAGTGTGAGAGAAGGAGGAGCTAGAGTTAGTTATTTTAGAGCCTGAGAATGTATGAACTGAGTGTTCTGTGGTTAATTATCTAGTAACTATCACAACTCCTTAGGTTATTCTTGAGTGACAGCTTAGTTTTCCTGAGTCTAGAATATATTTTAATTCATGCAAAATTTCTTTCTTTCCTTCTGTGTTTTTGCTGAACTTGTAGGTCATGGAATCTTCTGGCACTCCTTCAGTTACCCTAATAGTAGGCAGTGGCCTCTCCTGCCTGGCTTTGATTACTCTAGCTGTTGTCTATGCAGCATTATGGAGGTATGTAATCAACCAGTAGACTTGCAATACAGAACTCAGTTTCTTATTGCCTAAACAGGAACTATAAATAATTGAATGTCTACTGTGTTCTTTACTTACTGAAAGAAGCATTTTTATCACACAATTAGAACTTCTATGATTGAACTGGAGAAAATGAACAATATTTATTTAATTTTCTTCCCTATATTTATCAGTGGTTGAAGAAAAAAAAAAAAACATGAGTATACTTTTCTTCACAGTTCACAAGACAGGAGCCTTCAACAAGTTTTTCATACTTAAGCATGATACTGTTATACCTCAAGCCTGTTCTCTGTGTGGATTCTAATTATGCCCATTGAATCTGAGAATTCAATTAGTAAATTCAAATTTCATTTTTTAAAGAAATAGGATATCGAGTTCTCAAGCGCCAAGCATGCTTACAGTATGACCTGTAAACTGAGAACATCCTCTTCCAGTATAAGAAAGAGCAACAAAGACTACCATTCTCTAGAAAAGGTTGCTTACTCCAGTCTTTGCAATAAATTGCACTTTGAAAAATTTGATAGATGGATGCCATAAAAATATAAGTGGAAATGTTTGAACGTTTTTGTTCCACATTATTTGAAATGGCATCCTTTTCACAATATGTGAAAATTTAACACTTCTGTAGGTAATTTCTTTGGCCTATCCCAGGATACTAGTGCAAATTGGACCTATGAGGACTATTGTGTTCACTCACATCTTGACAACATACAAAGAACCATATGGCCAAACTTTCTAATACATTTTATACTTTTAATAAACATTTTATAACCATTTTCATTATTAAAGTGGTCTAAAAACACAGTATTACATTAGTACATGGATAATTATCTTTTGTTTCCTTAATATTTAAAATATTAAAATGACAAATGTTGATGTTCCTACCTCAAAGACCTTCAAGTCTTTATCTTTTATTTAGGGCTTTTAAAAATCAGTTGAAAAATTTAAAACTACTTACTATTCAATAAGGGAAGTTCATTTGCTTAACACATTTAAATAAAACATTATTACCAATTATGGTTTTCAGTCTTGAAGGGAGGTATTGTGAGGAATATTTAAATATTGTCCAAGACTTTAAGACTTTTCATATTTCATGCAAAAAAGGAATGTTCACGTTTGGGCTCAGGCATATAACGGAAGTTGTGCATCCCTATGAGGGATTCGTCTAGTGGTGAAACTGACAGAATGAACAATCTGATAAAATGTGAAATAGAAGAAATGCTTAGTGTAGGCATGACACTCTAGACCACAGAATACCTAGTCCAAGACTCAGTCAAGCAGGCATTGTGAGGTAGCACAAAGTAAGAGGCTGGTAAGAATACAACTTTCTCCCCGCAAATTACCAGATTGACGCTGATTTAAAACTGAAGCAACATTTCATGGTCAAGATGCTGGACAATTACGAATTACGGTAGCATCATAACTCATATCCATTAGAGTATTTATAATTGCCTTTTCTGCAGTTTTTGTACAGGTGCTTATTCCTCCTTCTGTTCCCTCCTTAATATATTCACCAAGACTGGCATAGCCAATGTCAGCAAAATGATGCTATGAAGTCAATCCAAGTAAAGTTTTCTAAAATTCAGAAAACCCAAGAAAATCACTTACTACAATGTATTTCTAGGAATTTCTAAAAAAGATCGAATGGTCTATCAAAACCTATATTGAAGTTGAGAAGTGTAGAAAAGGGCACCTAGAAACTGCAAAGTCTGGATTCCTCAGAATTATTAGTTATCAAATTCATTGTCTCCGCATACAAGAATTGAAATAACAGAGTTTGAAAGAAGTGTCAAACTTCTGAATTCTAAGTGAATCTTGTGGAATAATTGGATTCAAAGCATTTTATGAACATCAACCTTGCTTTAAAACATTTTGGTATAGCAACAAGAGTGTTGGGATCCTTTTGCCTTTTTCTCTAATAAAAATCTTTAAACTTTTTCGATAACTTTCTAATGAGTTCTTCAGTGTGTCGACTTAGGAATTACATGATGCATGATGCACTGTTCTGATATTTGTTAATATTCTATTTATTTCATCAAAAATATTCCCCCAGGTCTATAAGGCTAGATCTAGTTCAATGGCAGAAAATTTATGAATAAAGGAAATGTCTAAATAATCTTCAGGATGGTCAGTTCTTGGTTTTTTATTTCTCTAATTTTCTACTTATAAGGAGAAAATATTACTGGAAACTTTTGATACTGTCATCTATGTGCTTGCACCATCATGGAAACCATTAACAAAATAAAAATTTTTATCCACTATCTAAAAAAGCAGCACAGTCTAATATTTGTTGATGCCTTTGGCATTTCATTGTGTCCATTATCAGACTTTTTGCTATTCAGAATGTAGGGGAAAGGTCCAACAATTCTAGAAGCCTTTTGTTTTTGTGCTAAGAGTCAACAGAACTTAATCCCATTTGCATATATTTTGTGGAGAAACTTCTTTTACATTATAAAATCTCATCTGGGAATTTTGGTGCTACTGTTGTTTTTAAATGTTCTGATTTCTGAAGTGTATTACAGAATTTGTGGTTTATGCCGAAATAGTTTTCAAAGATAGGGTAGGGGAGAGAGAAAGAGAGAGAGAAAAAGAACTTTCTAGATTGCACCTTTCAAAGAGTACCTCCAGATCTTCTGCTCCCCCATCTAGCATTGCACAGAAAATCACACGCTTGCTGGGGCATGAGATGCTGTGTTACAACACAAATGGAACAGTCCAAAACACACATCAAGTCCAGGGCTCTCATTTAGTTATTGTCACTCAGTGATTACCACAGGGTACAGTTATGAAAAATAGCTGTTACCTTTCAGGATAAACAGGCGGTAGAACATTTGATTCTGAACAGTTTTTGCTGTGACTTACATTCTTAGTGTACTTTAAAATTATATAAGAAATTATATATAAGCATTTCTTCATAAGGGTAAAATATGACAGTCACCAAGAATGTTCTATCCTAATGCTGAATTACATTTGGGCAATCCTTTTTAGATATAAAGATGTATGCTATTTTTTTCTTGGAACAGAAACTTAAGAACATAGCAGCCTGACAACATGAAAATTCTTGAGTAGTTAATAATGTTCATGGTCTCACAAAAAATGTAATGTGATATATATATATATATAT